TAATCGGGGACAAAGCGCGTTATTCCGATTGTCTATGTACGACAAGGCTGAGGTAGAAAAGGGGAGGACGAGGCTGCTCTGGTATTGCGAAAATGGAACTCGTTAATTAGTGGCGATAATGTTTCTTTTTACCGAGGAAGATAGAAATGTTTCATTCGGTCCGAACGTTTGTTGTCCCGAAGTGTCGATCTCGGCGGTTTATACATGGTCCGTCTTAAGGATATGTAAAAGCGGGAACACCATTTGAAGCTACGTGAAAATATAGCTCGTAAATACAGAATAAACTTTTTTGATTTAAGACTTCATTTTGCAGAAAATCGACTTCGAAGATTGATGTGAAACGCGTGTAAGTCGTATGGTAGAAAGTAGAAACAGATTGCAATGACCAGACACGCTAGCCATGTCCTATTCGATTGCACGGGTATTCAGCAGATATTCAAAGTCGATTTTCTCGAAAACTAAGTCGAGAATGACAAAATTTTATTCTATACTTTTCTTTTCTTTTTTTATAAGGGATCACGCGGTGTCCGAGTTTACATATTATTCGGCCGGATTCTGTATTAATTGCAGTTGTACCTCGACTAGGAAATAAATCGAGAAATAAAAGTTCAACTGGTGTAAAATCCATCCAGGTGCCAGTCGATCCGCGACCTCGTTGGAGTAATCCACAAATTCGTACCGAATCTCTTCTGGGTGATGGTAGCGGGTTTTCGCGTTTGTGTTTCGCAAATTTCTGCGTGTAATGTTACCAGTACTAGGTTGTGTACACATTGTCAGCCCTTTGATTTATTTCGAGGGAACGGTCGTCGGTGAAACGACCTGCTCTTTAAGCTTTGAGTGGGCAGAGCTCTCCGGAGGAACTGTATTCTGACGTCTTAACGGCATCGTCGCGAACTAACGATGCATAGGACGCTACCCGATATTCCTTAATACCCGCCGTTTCCGTCTGTAATGGGCGCCGACGTAAATCCGGATTTGTCGTTGCCTTTACGTTTTTATCGGCAATTTACCATCGTCTGGCCGTAGTAAATCTCGAAAAAACAAATCTTGTCTATTCCCCCGGTCGTTACGCGAAACGATATTGTTTACTCGGGACCGAACGGACATCCCCTTTTTCTAAGTGTACTCGAAAAATAGAACGTTGCACGACGAAACGACACACTTGTGCCCCTCCCCCGACGTAAGAATAGGTAGTCGATCAAATCGAAATCTCTTCGAGAGCTCCTCGGCAAATATTAGAAACTCTTTCGCGATCGATCCTCCCTTCCTTCGACACTTCGAGAACGTTTCCTACTGAGCTTCTGGCTCTCTCTTCTCGAGAAAGATCAAGGATCGAGGTTTTCATCGTCCGCGTGGTTAGACGAAAGTATTCAAAATGTTGAGCTGCGGCCGAACGATCGCCAAAGGAAATTTCATATGCGGGACTTATCTTTCGTTTCAACGTCAGGGGAATCCTTCTTCTATCCGAAGCTTCCAGTGAAATACCACGAAATAGAAACGATATCAAACGAATATGATATACGACCTTCGCTTTACCGATTAAAATCAATCCGTTTAGACAATCGATGTCAGAAAGAATTCGTTTCGTTCGAAGCTTCTCCAGCTGAAGGACACGTGACGAATGAAACGAGGTACCATTTTCCTGATACGTACCCCACATGATCCTAGTTAGCGCGAACCGACTAGACAGTTTGGTCGAGAGAAGCAGAAATAAATAGCAATCTCGTGAAAAGGGCTCTGATTCAGAAGAAGGTGGCTATCAAGATTTTATCGTGGATCCGAGCTTTCAATGTCTACGAACTTTTTGAATATATTTAACAACTTGCCTACGTTGAAAACTGGGACGAACAAATATCACTAGTTTTTATCCCTTTGTCTAGTCGCTACACGAATCCAGGAAATAATACAGAAAATGCTGCTAGGTAGTCTTCGCGCAAACGATTGGGCTATTGTAAAAGTTCCGTTTCGAACATTTTCCACGTTCGGATTTTCGATAACACGTAAATAGAATAGTTCGGACAGCTGTGCAGTAATCCCGACCAAAGGACGACGCGTTCGACAATCCGATTATGCGTATTAACACATTGTACATCCTGTTCGATAGTGGAAACACACCTCCGATAACAAAGGTACAATTTTACTATACTAGAATCGGTCTTCTTCGTTTTACCCTCACCGTGAAACGTAGATCTCAATAACGTCGAACGCCGCTTTGACACGTTCCTCGTGTAGCCTGACTTTCGAGGCTGGTCACGTAGTTCGGTGAATTCCACGCTGCGATCAATTATTATCCGGCTTAATTGCATCGTGTTGCACCTTGGATGGTCGCCTAAACGGTTGACAAGGTCGGCAAACACGTATCGGCAATGTGTACGCGTTTCCTTCGTCGACTGACGTCGTCAGAGGGAAAATCGAATTAAACGAAGCATTTAAAAACCTTTCACCTGATCGTGTTACTCGTGATCCTGATATAATCAAATGTATTCAATCGTCCACGTTTCTGTTACTATGTCCAGGAATAAGAAGAAACATTCTATTTTTATAATGCTTGTGTCGAAGACAACGTGACGATTTTTTGAAATCAATTTCTTTTAGTCAATATGGCTTTTTTCGACACGCTATAGAACCGAAAGAAAAGTAGGGAATGAAATTACTGGAACCTTGACCGAAATAACGAAAGCGGAGTACTTAATCCAATGAATCGATGTTTCGAAAATCGTATTAGCGCTGCGATCGAAAGATAAAAAGACCAACGTGATGGGGACAAAAGAAAGCCGTGGAGGACGATGGGATTTTCGGTTGGTATGAGTGTCGTCCCGTTTTCCTTGGAAAATGAGAAAACTTCTAGGGTGTCGTCCCGCGGGAGAACGTACAAGAGTTTTCGTGACGTTTGCTTATCGACTTCTCCAGAGTACACGGTTCCCTAAAAAATACGACGAGTGTCGAGCACTCCAGCAATGAAAATACAAAATCGAGAGTATTTTCACGCTGTGAGAAGATATCGCGTTAAGCTAAACGGACTGCTGATAATAAACTTTATACCTAAGAGGGACTGCGATTTAACGAGGCACGGTTTCCCAAGAAGAAGCTTCTTGTACAAGTTTCCAAGGACTATTGAAACTTTCTCGTAAACGATGGAGCAACAGAGAAAGCATTATGAAGATGTATTTACGAACCATTTCTCGTAGAATTACTTCCGAAATTCATGTCACGTAGACAAGAATGTTTTTCCAAGTGACCAGAATCGCGGAGTGTTTGCAAGGGTTTTTAAATATTCGCGTGAAAAGCGAGCGGAAAGAGCCGCGGGCAAGCAGCTCCTTTGAATTTTGGATTGTTTGCAGCGCTCGCGGCTCGGGGAAGCCTCTTTGTATTCCCCCGTTGCTCAAACGGGGCGAGAGAAAACGCAGTTTTACGGGGCTTCGCGGAACGAACCCTCTTTGTACGTATTTTCCATTCGTCAGATGGAAGTAACGGTGTTCTCCCCTTGGAAAATACACGGATAATACTACGGTTCGGCATTTCAGAGGCCCCGAACAGGACGCAACCTAGAACACAGGGGGAACAAGGAATATATATGGCGAATCGCGGTGACATCGTTTCAACCTCTCGATTCTCCTCTCTGGTGTCCTCGCGCCGCCACAGAGAAATGATTATTAATTAAAAGACGTCACCGCCGCCGCGAGAATGGAAATCACGTTTTAATCTCGACCCTCGACTTCTGCGGAAATTTAGATGGAGGATTCGTGGTTTACTAAACTCATCGAGCAGTCCATGTTATTACAACTCGAACTCCGTGGCACCAAGTTTACCGTCCCTATTACGCGACTGCGTTTTCCAATTTCATAATCTACAGCGCGGACTAAGTTCCTCGGGGAAGATTTAAATTCAGGGGAATGGAATTCTCTTCGAGGAACAGAACATGCGTCGGTAAAAAATGGGAGGCAATTATAAAGTACCGGTACTTCGATAACTGCGTGTCCAATTTGTTCTTCTTCGAAACAACGATACTAATATGAATCGTTCCTGGTGGAAAGGAAATCGATATTCGATACATATTTCCCTTCGATTACGATTCAATTTCGCGAAGCTCGTTGCGTAAATTAACGCGATGGAAATCAATGTTGCACAACGTTATTTCAAAATAATATTCTTGTAAATGTGGAGGGGTTCCATGGGTAATTGATGATTGTGAGCTACCATTACGCAACCCACTCATAACACAGCACAGTTGGTAGAAGTAATTTTTCACCTTAAGGTCTCTATTGTTCACAATAGATTCATAGGTTCTCCAGGCTGTCTCGTACGTCTCGAATTATAACCCTTTTCGTGCAGGCCGAAACGTATCGCCGCGGTTGAATATGCATGCTAATGGAATATGCATCCAGAAAACGGACAGCTAAGGGAGTAAATCAGTTTTCACTGATAGATTTGTGTACGAGCGGATTCACGCGATCAGCGTTGGCACGAATTTTTGGCCAAACATATTATTTATGGTACCGTGGTCCGGCGTAATATCCGCGCGGAAAAATGCGATCGTATTTCATTACGAAACAAGTGAAGCTCGCCGTTTCGAAGCCGATAAAACAGAACATATTCTACCTCCCCCCCCCCCCCCCCCCCGGGGAACTTCGAGTGAAATCAATTAACCGAGTCGAAATTGAGAATTGAAGCCAACTCGAAAGAAAGTGAACAGGTTATTTTTCTCTCGTTAAGGGAACGGTGAAACTTGATCTACGACATACATGAATATGGAAATAAAATAAACGGGTATAAAGTTTCGGATTTTGTAGGTATTCCGTTTCACCTGTACAGAATAAAGCCAACGATCTTGCGTTTTGCACAAGTGTTCGGTACATCTCTGAACGTAGAAAAAGCTACCCCTCCGAATTCTTTGAAAACAGTGCGATCGTAAAGCTGATAGATTGTATTCGCGAATTTCAATCACAAAATTATGAAAACACATTTATTCGAATAAGAAATCGAATCGGTTGCTGACTCACCCGTCGCATGACGCGCAGTGAAAATGACGAGGTCTTCATTTTGGTGGTAATCCTGGCAAGCTTGAACGGTATACGTCCGGATGTGTTCGCCCTTGGCCTTCAGCAGTAATCGTACAGCAACGTGTCGTGTGTCGAGCTGTTGGACGACGTATAGTCCAGCTGTCTGGTGTTTGCAAGAAACCAAGAAATCCCGCGAGACTAATGGGGAGTCACGGAGCAGGTTCGTCCGATGGGCCGTTCAGAAGTGGCTCGGGGCCACAACTACAGGTGGTCGCGCGTTGTCGCTGAGACTGTTCCCCCGCCCGATGGATGTTTCGTTCTACCGTGTGTCTCTATGACACGCCCGCGCTCGTGCACACCGAAACTAATCGCGAGTGCACGATTCGATGAAAAAATTCTATCCAAGCGTACCGTGTGTCTCGATAACAGAGCCAAAAGAATAGAGAACAGATTCGATGATTCCTTCGATACGGAAGAATACTACGTTCCCTGGACCGATCCAGGCAAAATTTCCCGCGTCTGATCCTCGAAGAAGAGTGTTCGAGGTGATCGTCGGAACGAACCACGAAAGACTGCTGCGAGCGAAAAGTTTGCGGTTAGAATCAGATCGTAGCACGATGTCGGAACGACGTTGGTTGGACGTCGTCGACGGAGGATGTGCACGGAAGGACGTTGACGCGGTTCTGGCCTGTGAGTAGCGTCTGACCGGCTGTCCCGTCTGCCTGGTCTCCGAGGTGGAGCGAGGAAACCACCCCGGCGCTTTCTCGCGCACGCTCGTCGCGACGCCATAGCCCCGTACACCACAGGACCGCGCCTACTTTACGGACGCGTGGACTCAAAGTGCCAAGGTCGCGGTACCAAGGCCGTGTTAACCATGCACTCTATATTTTCCTTGTCCCGCAGACTGTCTTTCGAACACTGCCGATGCTCTTCCAGATTCATCGAAACACTTTAATAAACTGTTTCGATGCGTAACCGGCTGTGCTACCATCCTTTTCAATTTCAAGGCTAGCACGCAAACACACACTCTGATTCGAAGCCGATTTTTCTTCCTTTTATCGAAGCGAACTCTCCAAGAACATTGCCCAATATGTTTCCACGCGTCCTTGCCCCGATGTGCTTTCAGACGTTTCTCCCCATCCCGACAATTTTATTCCATGCGTCTGCTGATGGGAAATCCTGCGTTCGAGGCTGAACACAGCCGACCTTGGAATTTATTCTTAAGCTTCAATCGTGCGCAAACGTTAAGAGGATGGAGTCCCCCGGTCAACTTATGCTTTGCCGCTTCTTTAAATATTTATCAGATGTTCGCAACCGTTCTGGAAACTCCCCGATGGTCCTTGTGTATTAGCGGATTAACGAAGCTCTTCAATCTTCTATTTCAGCCTCCGTTTAAACGACGCGATCGGATGGAGGATTATATGGAGGAGCGTTGAGATTCACTAAACACAGAGTAATATACTGTGTTCTTACCAAAATTTCCCGATCGAAACACACAGTTTCGTTCACAGTGAACCGTTCGCGTTCACGGATCTCGAGCGACTGGCAACAATTTTTTCACTTGCAGTCGTAGTCCCCGTACCACCAAGTTCCACGAATTCCTTCTTGAGAATGTGTTTGTTTACATACTCGTTTCCAGGCTATATTCCGTTGTATATATGTATATATGTTGTATGTATGTTCCATAGCTAAATTCCGTGGTATATTAAATCATTTTTCAAACTCCTTTGTAACGAAGATAAACAGTAATGGAATGGGTGAAGCAACGAGTGTGACGGTTGTAATAAACAACTTGCGTGTTCGAAACGACATTAAATCGACCAATTAACACGCTGTACTTTACCGGTAACCAGTATATGGCTACGTGTATATTCACGGGTGTACAAGAGAGAATTATGAGGTTAGTTCTCGAGGTCGGAGCGAGGAGAAATGCTTGCATCTCGAGGCGTGTTCCTATGAAATATTCATTTGCCCGGTGTCTCGAACTGCCCACGCACAAGAGAGCCCTTTCCTTTCTGCATATTTTATCGCCCCCGCGTACGGGAATCCGCCACCTTCGGGTGAAATCGATTTTCCTCTTTGCGGTGAATATCGCTATTTTTCTTCATTTTCCTGTTGCGCCTCTCTGTTCCTCGACAGACGGTCCACGGGAGAACACGTTCAATTATTATTCCACCCACGGGGTCTCGCGGGCTGTCTCCGTTTCAACCTTCGCGCAATTCCGTCCGAAGACGAATCGGAACTTTCGCCCCGTTGCTTCCATCGTTGACGTCATTACTTTCACGGTGCACCATGGTCAATCTCGTTGATCATTGATTTATCGAGAAAAGATTCATCTTTCTACGAGGGAGTTCTAATGGAAAGTCGGTGATTAACATCGTTCGTCATGTCGACTTTCGAAGATCCAGAGCTTCTGAAAGTTGCAGGGTCCATGAGATAGCAGAAAAATACACGATACATATTTCTCATTTTACTATCGTTAAAGATTTATTTCATAATATTACACCAACAACTATTATCGAATTTTTATATAATAATAATAATAGATAATAATAATAATGATAATAATAATAATA